ATCTCACAGAATTAGTCAAAATCATATCTTTCTGATGAAGGAAGAAGCAAAATAACATATGAAGTCACAAAACCAAAACAAGAAGAAAATTAAAGTGACCATTAACAAGGATGTCGTGTTATATGTTTGTTGCTCTAAATTGAGCTTTTTTCCGTTTAACATCATTTTCAGACCGTTCCAGCTTTTATTTCCCCTTCTTCTGGTAGGAGACATGGCTGGCAATTATTTAATCATATTTCACAAAATAATCCATCATATTTGCATGACTTTGATCTGGTCTTATAAGTGAAACACCTCACTCCTTCTCAATCTATAACTTAATTGAGATATTTGTTTTGGTCGCAATATAATCCACTTTATACATGCCCAAAAAAGGGTTCTCATATGGGATAGTTTACATTATAAACGATTATTAATTTTTTTATCACTAATTTGTATAAATTAATTATTTAAGTCCACCTTTAGGATCAAAGGAAGTGAAAGGAGGGGAAAAAAATATTTTGTAGGTAGGTATATTTTTTTTCTCAAATTTTTAACTTGACAAGTATGTTTTTTGTTAAATCTTTTAATTTTACTCTGTTAGCATCATTAGCCAGTGGCTAACAATGCTAATATAGCAAGGTTACAGGACTAACAATGCTCACAGAGAAAAGTCAAAACATGTAATAAAGAGGAAAGATTTAATTACCAAATTAAAAATTAAGAAAAATTATAGGTACATGCAAAATAATTTTTTAAGATAAAACCTCAGATTTATATCATAGTTCAATAACGTGCATTGAATTCTAATATGGTTAAAAAAAAAAACGCGATTCAAATATGTTTTTGGGTGCTTTAAATGTTCATATCCATATTGAAAATTCAAACAGACATGTTGGTATCAATGTTATTTACCATTCAATAATGCTATCTTCTGTCATTTTGTTACTTACAATTAATGAAAATTTATCTATGGAAAAAATTACTCAAACCCCCTGTAGTTCTGTGCTTTTGAATTTTCATTTTTAAAAAATTTATATGGAATACAGATACGAATAATTTAATACATTCATCTTCTATAGTATATACATGGTGCGCAGTAATGACTTGAATTGATGTGCTTATTCTCACCACAATTATTTATAATATATAGGAAATTATATGATTAAATAACCACTGCTTATAATTTAATTAATTATGTGCTTATGTAATCCTGATATTTAAAAAAAATGCTCGACCAAAATGAAATAAGGATGTCACTACATAAAACAAAAGGAAAAGCCAATATGCAACTTTCAAAGAGAGTATAGGTCATACCATTGACCTATATAAGGCCCAAAAAGATAAATTAATTAATATAGGGGCAAATGGAGAAACTTATTTTAATTGTATTTGATTGACTCTATAACATATGGTTAGGAACTATATATATTTATTTGTAAAATATATTCGGATGGTCACATTAAATATCAATGATCATTCACCTTTTGGCTCAAGGTTCAAGCTTAATGGTGTGTTTGGATATGACAATAATATTTTGAAGTGAAAGTTCTTAACCAGGATGAATATGACTATCGAATAAAGGATTCATCAAATATCTTAAATTTCTTCCTAACACAGCTGTGCAAGGTGTGTATGTGCCCCTCCCATTTATAATATAAAACTCAATTAATTAATTTGATTAAATTTAAAAAATTAGATAAATTAGTTAATTATATAAAAAAATATAATTTTTTTTAAAATATTATGATCATCTTTCTCAATATCTTCCTTTTCTTTCCTATTTGATTATGTTTAAGAGAGTATCAACAAGAATAATTTAAAAAAATTAATAAAGATAATAAATAAATAGATTAATTTAACAATTAAGGTATATGATAAGCAAGTTTATTTTTTTATTAGAAACAATTTTGTTCTACCTATACACTAAGTGAGTAAGTATGAGCATCTCAACAAGAATTCGGACTTTGGGGGTATTTGGATAGAATTAAAATCATGATTTTAACAGTACTCTTATAGTATACAAAATAAATATATAGAGAAGTTTATATCGATTTATGGAATATGGTACCCAAACGTCCCTTCTAACTAAACCCTTCGTTTGCTGAGTCTGAGTTGTTTGTAATTATGCTTATTGGGTCTGATATTCTTTGGGCGTTGGTGGATCTGGCTTCTATGGACATCTTCATCTGTGGTCTTGTAAAATATTTTGGGCTTGGGCCTAAATGTGTAAGGGCTGGTGGCCTTCAATTTGGAAATAAGTAATTAAAAATTACATTGAAAATTGAGTCTAATATGAACTAATACTTGTGCTTAATAAGAAAAAAAAAGTAATTAAAAATTGTTTTAATTTCCTTTTTCAGCCGAAGTTTCAAATATTTGAGATCTGAGATTTTTCGTAATCACTCACACTTTCTTTTGGCAGGTAATCACCGACACACCCATTATATCTTAACAAAGATTGATATTTATTTATAAAAGCCAGGATGTTTATTTAATAATGAATTTTAGGGTGTTATACATAACACAAAATTATTTAAAATAAAAAATTTAAATTAAAAATGAAGGCCATCTAGATAAATGGTATATGAATATTAATTTTAGAAAAAGAACCTCACATGAAAAAGTAATACAAGGTACCCGTACATCCTTAGATTTTTGACGAGGGACATACATTCTTAATTAAATAATAACCAGCAATGAATTAATATATATGCAGTAAATTTCATAAGAAGCCAATGGCTTATGAATAGTAAGGGTTAAGGATTGTTTTGGTCTCAAGTATTCAAAAACAAGCAAATAATGTCTTGTATGTTAATTGGAACGTTCAATTCTGCCCAGCATTGGTATAGTAGGGTTGTGTTTATGAGTCTTCCATTTGTTTTTCATGTGCATGTTATGTAGGAATTAAATAAGAGCATTTTTGGAAAATAATATTGAAGATTTAATTTGATTTAAATTTTTTATAGGGTACTTATTTATAGTGTTTTGATTTTTTTAACATAATTTTGTCAAAAAACAAACAGTAAAAACAACTTATGTCTAATGAAATGGTACCAACGCATTCTTTTTATTATTTTAGAATATCTAATACCCTCTTTTAGAATTGAGTGATAATTTGTTCTATTTTGGAAAAAAAATTAAAATTTGATTCATTAAGTCCCACTCAAATAATTCAAACCAACAACCTTTCAAATTTTAAAGTAACTGTGCCCCAAAAACGATATAAAGTATCTAGATCCTTCCTTTCTTTGGGTACACTTTTTTCATTTGGGGGGTCATCCTTTGAAAATAATGAACTAAATATAAAGAATATAAAGAATAAGTATTATTCACATTTCTTTAGCTATCTTTCTATTTCTATTACCGGAAATTCTATTTGAAGTATTGTCAAATATTAAATGTAAGTTCTTCTCACAGTAGCAATTGAAACTTTAGTTCATCATGTTATAAGAGACTAACCACTTTCACGGATTCGGATCCTCTCAGAAGCAATTTTCTCAGCGTCCCTCAGCGTCTTAAAATCCAGTCCATTTAAATGATCTAAAAGTTTATATTGTGCCAAGTCATCAAGCTTTAAAATTGAATGTCTTCTCAGTATGTTTGGTCCCACAAATACGAGCAGCGCGTCTTCAGCCTTGGACTTCTCTTTCTCTTCCCGTCTTCGGACCCCCACACGCCCGTTGGTAAATAGCCATCTTGTTCATCGCACACCTTCCATGGCTGTTCTTTCTCAACCTCACATCTATTTCTCACTACTTATCCTCCTCCGCTTTAATTCCCTGCAACACAGGGCATTCGCCAATCCTCTCTTTAGCGACATTTCGAGAGCCACCGCAAGTAAAGCCTCGTTCTGAATTGGAGGGCTGTGGGTCAAGTCTTTGTCGCTAACTCACTGAACAGCATAGAAACTTGAGGGATCACCAATATGTAGAAACACTGCATGTGTATGGTTCTCTTTCACTAGGCGAATTTGACCCTCAACAAAAGTCCTGTTTTTTTTTTCCATCACCGAAAAAAAAAAGTTCTGTTTTTAATACAAGAACCCAAAAGCAAGTAATGAGGAGAGAGAAGCCGAAAGTTAGGGGGTCAGAAGAGGGGAGAGAAACCGAGAAACTGACGGTTGAAGAATGAAGACGCATTGCTGGAGTTCGTGGGACCGGACAGCTTGATGACTTGTCGCAATGTAAGCTTTTCGATCATTTAAACGGACTGGATTTTAGGATTCTGAGGGACGCTGAGAAAATTGCTTCTGAGAGGATCTGGTTCCCACTTTCACTAGACCCAATTCTAGTTAGTTATTTATAATTGTTCATTAGCCTCAATTCAACCAGACATCATACTGCTAGTTCATAATACTACTATAAGAATGATTTAGAATTTATACTTAGTTTTAAATATAACAACTCAATTTATTTTATCTCTTAAATTTATATATTTTTTAAAGTATTATATTGATTGTACATATCAATTGAGGAGTTCCTACTAAAAAGTACACAATTAAATACAACAGTTTACAAAAACCAACCCATATTTATTATAAATAATTTTTTAATATTTATATATTAGTTATCTACTCCCTCCGTTCCTTATTATAAGAGACATTTAATGCTTATGACATGTTACTATATATAAGAGACACTTAAAAGTTGTCTTTACTTTTTTGTGTTGATTTTCTATTTTACCCATATTTATTATCTCCAACTCACACTCTCTCTCCCTCCTACTTTTCTTTCTTTTAATAATTTAATTGTTCTCTCTCATGCTCTCTCTCCTTATTAATGAGGGTATTTTTGGAAAAAAATTATACTTTTTACACATTAATTGTTCTTAACTAATTTTAACTGTTTTTTTTATCAACGTATTTCGGTTATTTGTCTCTTGTAATAAGGAACGGAGGGAGTAATTTTTAAAAGTAATGAATTTTTGTTTTTGACCAATTAAGAGTAGCAGATGAAATTGAGCTAAAAAAAAAAAGAGGAGGCCAGGAAAAACATACATAACAAAATGACACAGGCACAGAGCATAAAAACCTCTACACATATGTCCTTTCCTTTTCATTGCCAATCCCAAGAACCACCTAATCAATTTCTGACAAAGTGATCATTCTAATTCCTAAGTTTTCTTAGACAGCTGTCAGATACCATCCCCAGACAATTTCAAGGATTATAAATTTTATAATAATTTATATACATTAGATATATTACTAATACCAATAATGCCTCACTATATATTAATAAATAATTTCATTCCCATAAACGATCTCCTGTCCACCGTAATCGCCTTTTCAAAAAGGCAAAACTCAATCATGCTCAGCTTGTATTCACAACCTCTCACAATCATGGGAAACAGATCCTCTTTCAGATTTGTTCCGCACAAAGACGTCATTTTTCCTTTTTAACCCCACAGCTTTACTCATAATTACAATCCCCTCCTCCTCTGTTTACCCATATGGAGGTAAAGTTATTCTGCAAGTCGTCTCTCTGATTTTTCCCTAACCGACAAAGAAATTTTAATCACTAAGATTTAAATACCACCATGATTAATTAATTAAAACATGCATCTAAAAAATTTACACATTTTCTCCAAAACTTACATCTAACAACTCAGACCAGAACAGGGTACTCTGTTTTCTTGTTTTCACATGAACACAACCCTTTTACAGGACCTAAAGCTGTTACACACGCTGAATCGCAACGAATTGAAGAGACGTACCCCTCATATCCGCCGGAATATTGTGTCTCCGGTCACCGGAAAATCACGGAACACGAACTACCTCGATCTACGCTTACCAGGCCTTGTCCTGTTTCCTTTGCCCCCTGTTTTCCCAAAAGCGCCGCAACATCCACAAGCAGAGAGCTTCGGAGACGGCGGCTCAACCGCCGGAGAAACTTTTCCGGTCCGGTACCCCCTTCCGCCGGCGTTGGAACGACTCCGGTCAATGGTGTTGATTGGTGGGAGGCTGGTTCCTGCGTTAAGTTCTTTAACCTCAGACTTTTCACGGTCGTCTTCTTGTTGCTCGTGTTCATCCTTCTGGTTGGCTTTGTTCAACTCTTCTGATAAGAACCTGTCGTCCCAGACAATACCAGATGAGCCTTGTCTTCTGAAAGAGACTGCAGATCTTTGCAGGCCAGCCATGGAAAGGGATCTTTGGAGGCTTTTTGAGAAGGTGGGTTGCTGATTTTTATTACTATTGTGTGTGTGAGGAGGGGGGGAGAGAGAGAAGAAGAAGAAGAGAGCTTTTGAAGAAGAAGGATAGGGAAGAAAAGAGAAGCGGTTTGTTCTTTATATGGGGAAGGTCAGGGAGGTCTTTTGCAATATTGGGACGAAGTCAATGTGCTCTGCCCCCATGATCTTTAGCTGGTTTCACACTTGGGTAGGCAAAAAAAATAAATACTGTGATTCTCCTGAAAAAAATTAATCCTATTTTTAATTTGATTTTTAAGTCTTAACCCAGTTAAAACTTAATCTCTAAATTCACTGGATGTAACTCAATTTTTATAATTACAAGTATGTTAAAACTTTATGATTTGAGTTATAAGGGAGCGAAAACTACATGGATAAACCTTTTTTTCCCCATGAATTTAAGTTTTTTTAAAAATTAGAACACCTCGTATCCAAAAAATCATAAAATATACCGTATTGAATTTTGGCTAATTCTTTTTTTTTTGGGACTGAATTTTGGCTAATTCTTTTTTTTTTTGGGACTGAATTTTGGCTAATTCAAATTAACTTGGATATAATCACGAGCAAAACTTTCCTGTAAGTTTGAAAATATAAAGTTTTTTAGGGTTTGTGGGGAGTAATTAATGAGATTTTTTTGGGAAAAAAAAAGGTCCTTAATAAATATATAAAATTAATGATATTTTCGCATTTATTTGTAAGTGATTCTATTAATATAAAGATAAATATGTAAAGTGTGTGTAGTTTTTGGATCATGTTAATCAACAAGTGAGAGTTACTTAAAAATATTCTTTAGTTTTAGGCAGATGGAGTATCTAAGATTCAAATTTGAGATCACTAGTTAAACCATCGTACCCTCTTACCAGAAGGAAATGTTTATTCATTGGTATTGAATTTAAGTCTCACGATAATTAAAAAAAAAAATAAGAGAAAGATTATGCGAGGAGGCTTCCCAATTTAAATTTGAATAATACTGGTATCTCACACTAAATTATTTGTTTGAGGGAAAAAACAAAACTTCTTTTCAGCTGCGAATATTATGTAATCAGTCTAAGTTTTTTATTTTGTTTATTTTTTTACCATGGTTCATCCGTATGGCCCCTTCTTTGAAGCAGGATGATGCTTAAAAAAACAGAATTTTATAGAGTAAATTATATTACAAAATAAGTTTTATATTTAATATCAGAAGTAGTTATTATTTATGTTTGTGTAAAATGCAAAATAGCATTCACCATACTCATGTATAAGGTGTCAAACACCCTAAATTATATATAAAATTAAGACGGAGCATAGCATCACGAAAGTGTTGAATGCAGCATTGTAAATAAAATTAAACTGCTGAATATTACTGTATTTTATTAGCAAATGACATGAAGGTGCTGGATGTTATTTTATCCCATATCTCTGTATATATAAGTTACTGCCTCTTATTCTTAATATTAAAGATAGTTCAACATTTACTTTGATTCTAAATATAAAACTTCAATCTATTTTATTTTTCATACTACCTCCTATTCTTAATATAAAAGCTCATTTAATTTTTTTATTTTGGTTCTAAATATAAGACCTTAATCCGTTTTGTCTCTCATTTATCTATTTTCTTTAAAGGTAGTTTTTATAATAATGATAATTTTAACTAATACACTTGATTAGTAAGGATATTTTAAGAAAGACAATATCTATTCATTACAAATAACTAATTTAACTAGTTTTTTTTAATTTACTCAAATTAGTTAATTAGCTCTTATATTAAGGATTAGGGGTAATATTTATCCACCTTTTTCTAAAGTAATCTTTATAGTGGTCATACATGTTAAATGTAATTCTAACACACATTATTTGTAATGATAATGTTAAATGTAATTCTAACACACATTATTTGTAATAATATTTTAGAAAAAATCACATCTATTTAGTATTAATAACTCATTTTTTTAATCTTTTTAAATTAATTAACTAACTTTTATTTTAATGAGAGTACATAAAAAATTGGTTGGTTCTTTGGTGGTCACATCGAGAAAGAAATAATAAAAGCGCCGCGAAGCTAAGATGAGTGAAAGCCAAATACAGGAAATGCAATACGTGTGGGTTTTGAAAGCCAAAATACAGGAAACACATTATTATGTTTGTTGCACCGTAACATCATTCCACGTTCATTCATAAACATGTATCTCATTTATATCAAAAGATTAGCGTCATGTATGACATTATACCTCTTGACAATAATGAACGCGGGCAAAATTTAAGGAATCAAGATTTAATTTAACTTCCGGCAAAATAAAAGATTTAATTCAACTTATGTAAATTTTTTTTTTAATTTTTAGTTACTGCTGGATCATATTTGACCATTGTCAGGAGTTTAATTGAAAATTAACTTTAATTTTTTTTTAAAAAATTGATTGAGGATATTCTCTTTCGAGATTTAAAGCATAAATAACTTTTGTCTTTTTCAACGAGCATGTTTTTTAAGACTTGAATTTATGTTTTTCTCTTTACAAAAGTAAAGCTGCTTAACACTTCAACCAATAACTTGTTTATAAAAAAGAGTTTTTAAAAGTCACATGAACTTGAGCATGAAATCCGTAAGCGGTCATAGACACTAAATTTAAATATAAGTAATTTTACCAGCAAGAGTTAGTCTAGTTAGTAAGGAATTAGCTTATAACTCATAAGGTTGTAAGTTTGAATTCTACTGCTGATGTGAGAACCTTGTTGGTGGGTAATCTATAAGTATCTTTGTAAGTGCTTTTTAAGCCTAAAGGTGTGTCCTGGCTCTGATAAGCTCCCAAGACTCAACTTAATTAAACTTTTTTTATAACAAAAAAAAAAAGCAATTTTTGGGACAAACAGAGATATAAAGCATGGACCACAAAAGGCTGGAAAATGGGCATAAAAACGAGAATAGTGACTGGTGAGGAGGTAAGCATGAGGGAATATGACATGTATAATGTATAGCTGAGGTCCACCAAGTGCATTCTGATTATGACCTTATCATAATCAATAAATGAAAGGCACAAAATGCACTCATGTCCTTATCCCTTCTTCTGTTTTTTTAACCAAAGACAAAATGATATTAAAAGGAAACAAGATTTACAGAGTACATACTGAAAGTAAACTAGCAGAAAATCTATTAAAATGATGAATTAAACTTATAATGAGAATAACCAATAGGGAAGAGCTAGTATTTCTATCAAGTGATAGATAAATAGTTGATCGAGCGAGCAGGAGATTAAAGTAATCTTTGTCCTTATCTCTTCTCATTATGCAAGGAACTCCCCCCCCCCCGGGGTTCTTTGACTAATCCTCTCACATTTCCCCACTTTCTTCCATTAAATGCCGTCCCATACCATAAATAAGTCCAAGATATTGAAACTCGGATTGATGATTCTGAAGTAGTAATTTAAGGGTTAATCATATCACTAGGACATACTATGTCTCATCCTTAATATAAGAGTTAGATAATTAGTTTAAGTAGATTAACAAAACTAATTAAGTTAGTTATTTATAATAAATAGGTATTATTTTTTCTAAAATATCATTACTAATCAAGTGTATTAGTTAGAACTATTATTATTACAATGACTATCTTAAAAAAAAGATAAATATGAGAGACAAAGTGAATTGATACCTTATAATTAGGATCAAAATAAAAGTTAAACGAGGTTTATATTAAAAACCAAAAATAATATAAAATATTCATATATAGATATATTTATAATATTGAAAAGAGTAATATTTAAATAAAAAGATATTAATTTACAGTTAAATAGGACACTAATATATAAAAGGGATAATTAATCCACAGCTCCTTATAGTTTCAAGTAATTTTGAATCAGGTCCTTATAGTTTTTTTTCTTTTTAATAGGTCCTTATACTTTCACCTGTTTTTAATTAGGTCCTTGTATTTATTTTTCTTTGTATCAAGTCCTTATAAGTTCACCTTATTTTTAATTAAGTCCCTGAATTTTTTATTTTTTATTTTATAAATTCTAATAGTACTATTATATAAACATAAAATGGTATATATTATTTAATATTAGTTTATAAACAATAATATTCTAAAGATATTGAATTATTATAATGATTTTAATTTTTTCAGCAAAAAAATTAATTGTTCTAAAAGATTTTCCTGAATTAATTAATTCTATTACTTTTTTATTACATAATTATTAATTTAATTTAATTATTAATATTTTATATTTTGGTATTAATCTATTTAATTAAGCTTATATTTAATTAATAAATAAAAATTAAAACTACATGGACTGATTAAAAATTTAGTGAAATTATAAGGACTTAATTAAAAGAAAAATAAATACAAGGACCTAATTAAAAAAAGGTAAAAGTATAAGGACCTGATAAAAAGCAAAAAAACTATAGGAACCTGCTTCAAAATTTGTTGAAACTATAAGGACTTACAGATTAATTAACCCTATATAAAATCATGTATAGTCTAACAAAACATAGTTATTAAATCATAAATATGAGGGACTACTTTTTTTTATTTTTATAAACTTAAAATGATATCATTTTTAGGCTTAATAAGGATAGAGAAAAGATTAAAATTCAACTTAACTAGTCTGACAAAAACTCTTAATAAAATTGATCAAAGAATTGGTTCACCAGTTTATTGGTGGAACACTCAAAGCTGATCATAATAAGTTGGATTTTAATGTCATGAATAAATCTCCATCTTTAATATGAACGGAATATTTTGACCAAAAAAAAAATATGAACGGAATATCTTTTGAGTATTTCTTTTGTCCTCATTGGCTAATCACCAAACCAGTCCAATGATGTTCACTTTGACCATTTTCAATCCTACTATCAAAATTTCCCCCACGTTCTTTTTCCCCGCCCACCACTAATGCTTCCTCCAAAAGATTCTAGAGTTCTCTATCCGTGACATTTAACTAAATAATATTTATGATCAATCATAAAACTTGATTTATTTTGTTACATATATTTGAACAGAAGGCATGGTCATAGCATAAAAAACACTAAAAAGGGACAAAAGACAAAAGAGAACCTGTGTCATGCGTTTATCAACCTCATGCGTTTCTAACTAGCCAATTTGACTTTTCTATGAGCATCTTCAAACTTAAAATTCCAATCCAAACCAAAAGCAATCTAATCTCATATGTTATTTAAAAAATGGGTTAACTCCTTCATGTGATTGCTAACTCAATGAAGTCAAGTGGGCAGTAATGCTGAGCTTGAATCAAATCTTACAGGTCATGCTAACTGAGAAACACAAACATTGACAACAAACAATATCAATTAGGTTTGGTGCGCCAAACATCATCCAACTGAGTAAATTAGGTTCATAATGAGGGGAGTATTGAAAATTTGAAATTGGTTGAGCGACTACATGATTGGGAAAAAAAACCAAGAAAATGAGAGAATTTGGCTAACCAGTTGAAAATTGTTCAAAACAGAAATTTCAACAAATATTTGATAAAAAGTGGCCCTCATCTCCATCAGCAATCACCTCATCAATATTATCATGAACATTGAAGATTGCTCAAATAGTGGATCAAGCTTTTGATTTGTTTCTGTGGGGCCCTCAGCTGATGCAACAATTCATGGACGTGACACTCAAAGGTGGTATTAAGCCCCAGATGATAAGTTTATACAGTTGGAAGACGTTAACGGGTGATATATTCCCATTGATTTTCCCTTTCTTGGTGCCTGAAAATTTCTTAGTGCATCCCAAGAATTTACTTAATCAGTAAAGGTGAACATATAGTGTGGACTCAAGAAAGGGAACGTGTAGTGTGTATGGAATTAGATTGAAAAGTCAAATGCTTATGATTAAGGTTTTTATTGTAGCAGAAAACAAATTGAACCATTGGGAAAACAAAAAATTTAACATATTTCACAACCAGTTTGCAGCTCAAAATACAAAAACTAATTAGCTTTAAGCAATAAATAATACAGGTAGGTAAAACTCCAAAAGATAACAAAATGATACAAAATCTATAAAAGTAACAATTAACTAACTAATTAGGACTGATTAAATGGGATGGATGAATTCAAACATGAATCCACCATACGGAAAAGCTCCCCTCCTCATTATGGCTTGACCGTGCCACATTCAAATTCATATTCATTTCATGTGCAGACCAGAAATGCCGGAGAAAGCAAGAGATATTACAATACTGTGGTACACAAACGAGTTCATAAATTTGATGACCTAATCTCATACTAGACGAAAATTTGATAATTCAATCCTGAAATCAAGGAAACATGGTTCAGGGTTGATGATCTGGCCTACAATTGCCCTCTACCTTGACAAGAGTCAATGATGAGAATAATGAAATTCCGCGGGGTTATGTGTAGCATGTGGCCGAGTGGCTCCGAAGTGACAAATTCACTCGCTTTTTGCCACAAATGATTCACCCTTTTTTAGCCAGTTTATGTATTGCTCTTGCTCTCTTTTATGTAGGTAGTGGAGAAGGAACATGATCAGGTTTTCTCCGATTCCCTTCTCTATCAGATAGTTTCTGATCGAACCTTGCAACTCAGGGTCCAATTCACTGTACAGGGACATCATACACAAGACATGAAAATAGAAAAAATATTATAAAAGGATCCAAAAACAAAGATGATGCATTTAAGATCATCGGACCAAATGATCAAAGGGGCAAACAAGGACAAGTTCATGTCTAAAGAAACTTTCTAAAGAGAATTGAGTAAGAAAAAGTGCTCATTATAATCCATCAATAAAGAACTCAGATACTGTTGTCGATGAGAAGATTGTTAGTTCCGATATTAACCATTAGTTTTACAGTGCTTACTTTTCGTCAATGTGAAGATGGTCTTACTCGCTTAATTTTATCATACTGCAAATCCCAGTGAGATAAAATTCGACACATGAGAGCTCGATGAGTATAGGTTAGACAACACAGTAAATTCAACAAGGTTGAACTGTATAGTTTTTAGTAAGAAAATAAACTATCACGAATCCAAATGATGTAGGAAAAAAGAACATCGGTTGAAGGTACTGTTCCAAATTCAGCAGAAAGCTAGTAAGCTCAGAAAGATATGTGATAGCTAACAGTAACATTGGTCACAGCACGTTATACTACAGTCCACAAAAGTTCGCTTGTCATTGTCAACCAAGGCATATGGAAGACAACTGAATAGTTTGGCAGAGGGTCATTCAAGGTAAATTCTGCAAAGTATAAGCCCACCATAGGAAAACAACGAAGGTACAGAAGAACTAAACAAAATTCTTAGTTAATGGAAGTTCTATAATGGGTAGAAGAGCTAAGAGGAGGGATTAGAATAATCTGACAGAAGCAAATTAGATCAGCCAAACAAATGGGTGGGTAGGCATTTAGAATAAGTAAATCTTCCACATCAATCTCACATATCAGGAACACCATAGATAACATAAATCCACTTCTTCCAAAAATAGAGCAATCCAATGTTGGGTTTTCTTTCGAGGCTTCAGAAGAGTCATTTCCTTTAAATGACTCAGTATTCACTAAGCATGGCCTACTGCCCTTTAAAGCCTCGCAGCCTCTACCTACCCCCTGCTTTCAAAAGCTAAGTCAAATAGCATTGACTTTTTTGTCCAATTTCTACGGGGACATAAGTGGAATTTTCTTAACAAGTTACCCTTAAGATGAACGAAATATACAAAAGCAACCCACCTTACGACCAGATAGTGCATATTAGCACATGAAGTGTTGCCAGAACCGACTGAGCGAAACTTTAAAACACAGGACGGATGCATATGAGCAAGAGAGAAAGATAACCACGGCAAATTTTACCTAAATTTAGGGCCTCTGTAAAGGGAAGATCCCAGACATGTTGGCGATGGGAGATAATAAGCACTCTTTATATCAAAGCCTGGTTCATTGATAGATTCCTCAAAAGCACGACAGTGAAATTGCAACATGGAGCTCAGAGCTGGCTTTTTAACAAACACATTCATAAGAATATCCCTTGGAAAAGTACCGCCTCTCTCATGGGTAGGTGCTGGGCCAAGAATTGCTGAAACCGCAACCTCTTCGCCTGAATTGCATCTTTTCCGCAAAACTACATCTTTGGAATGTGGGGAGTCCCAGTCCAGCAAAAAGTCTCCCAAGGAACCAAATATTTTATCAGCCTGTATTGAATGACGGCGCATATATAACCCAACAAGTTCTATGGATAATACACACAACTATGTAATCTACCACGCAAGGTATGTGTACAGACAAATATATTCTTAAAATGCCCATGATGAATTATACAATGCACCTGCAAGCACACACATCTCTATCCTCTCTGTGCGCCACAAAACGCGGGGAACTAGCATTTCACATTAACTAGGATCGTTTCCAAAGAGTGGTTAAGAAACCAGCAGAACCATATGACGATTCGGGGTCTAATAATCGATGTTGAGTATTCATCAATTAACGTGCAAAGAGAACAAGACGCTTTCCGGCTCCAGAGGAATGTAACGAGTACAAAATTGCTGCAAAGGTTTTATGAGAGAAGGTTGGGGAAAAAAATACGGGAGGCTACTATGTTTAAAAGCATTGAGATTTCATACGAATAAAAGAAGAATCAACGAAGGGAAAGAAAAAATGACCTTGAAGGGATTAGAATTAAGTTCGAATTCGATCTCGGACTTCAAGACCTTGAGCAATTCCAGGTCTTGAACAGCTTCGAAACCCTTTCGCAACTCTTTCACTTTCGGCGCCATACTCTCCCCACAAGCACTACGAATTAAATTGCAGAGCCCAGCGCCTACGATTACTGCTGGGCTGAAGCGTTTAATTCTCATGCTTTTCTCAGAATTAAAAAAAAAAAAGAGTATTCCTTTTTTTTAAGAAAAAAATGGTAAAAAAAATCCCTGTTTGAAATTTTAATTGGCCAAAAAGACATGAAATTATACAAGTACAAGCATGATTCGTGACTGTAATATCATCCGCTGTGTGAAATATACTTGCATAATTTTAGGTCCTTCTGACCAATTAAAATTTCAAACAGGGAATTTTTACTAATTTTCCCTTTTTTCTCCCAATAACAATTATAGGTAAAATTTTACCTAAAATTAATATTAGATATAGGTGTACATGCTATACCCCTGACAAATACACAAAATCAAATCAAGTTTATAGTCATAAATTGCACAAGTTGTAAATGATAAATTATCAACTTAGCTCAAGCATCGTCCAGTAAACATGTCTAGTTCAGTCTTTTTATTTCCGGTAAAAGTCTGGTCCAGTCCTATAAAATGTAATTTAACAACATTTATCTCATTTCTTTTTTTCACTCATATATATTGGCCTTTTTTTATTATTATTATATACTACCTCTTATTCTAAATATAAGAGCTAGTTGGTTAATTTGAAAAGGTTAAAAAAATAAGTTAAGTTGGTTATTTGAAATAAATAAGTGTTATCTTTTTTAAAATATCCTTGCTAATCAAATGTATTGATTAGAACTACTATTATTAGAATAAATACCTTGCAAAAAAATGTATAAACCAAAATAAAAATCAAACAAGATCTTATATTAAGGACTAAAAGTAGTATTTGATAGGGAAAATGACACATAAAGAAGCTTGAGAATGTGAAATGCCAATTTGGGAAGCTAAGAAATTGTGATTACAGAGAGGGAAGTCCTTCCCAAATTGGAATTTTGAAATTTAGTGAAATGATAAAAATGCCCTTGTCTTTTTTTTTTTTTAAAAAAAAAATCAGCCTCTCACAGGTGGCCGGTGACCGGCAGCCACCGCTGGCGACTGGCCTCTGGTGGCCGGCGACCACCTCTGGCCACCAGCACCGACCACCGATGTGGTGGCTGCCGGTGAAGTTTTTTTGTGACACTATTTTTTTTTTTGGAATGGGATAATATTGGTTCAAAGTGGCGAGGTGGGATTTGATCCCACAACCCCTTGCCCATTTGGGCCAACAAAAGGGAAGATGGTCATTAAGCCATCAAAGATTTCTTAACCTTATAATGCAAACAAAAATATAAGTCGATTCTTTTACTGTAACTCCAGCCAGTAACAACATTTATCTGAGGATGACAAGTCTTAATTGCGAAATAACAAATCTAAATTTGATATCAACAAAACAACTTTTCCTTATACATAACAAATAGCAGCATGTACATTAATTAAAAATGACCATAATTTATTTAAAAATGACACGTCTTTACTGGAAAATGACAAGTCTAAACTTGATATTAACAAAGCAACTTTTCCTTATACATAACAAGAAATAGTATGTATGTTAATTAAAAATGACCATAATTTATTTGAAAATGACACCTTTTTACTGGAAAATGACAAGTCTTTATTGGAAAATGACAATTATTTATTTGGGAATGTACATGTTATTTCTTGTTATGTATCAAGAATCCCAAATAAATTGTTGTCATTTTCCAGTAAAGATATGTCATTTTCTAGTAAAGACGTGTCATTTTTAAATAAATTATTGTTATTTTTAATTAACGTACATGCTATTTCTTGTGATGTATTAAGAAAAATTGCTTTGTTAATATCAAGTTTAGACTTGTCATTTTTCAGTAAAGACATGTCATTTTTAAATAAATTATGATCATTTTTAATTAATGCACATGCTGCTACTTGTTATGTATAAGGAAAAGTTACTTTGTTAATATCAAATTTATATTTGTTATTTCTCAATTAAGATTTGTCATACTCAGGTAAATTGTTAGCACGGGTTGGAGTCATAGTAAAAGAATCAACTTATATTTTTATTTACATTATAAGATTAAGAAGTCTTTAATGGCCCAATAGCCATCTTTTCTTTTGTTGGCCTAAGTGGCCAAAGGGTTGTGGGATCAAATTCCGCCCCTACCACTTTAAACCAATATTATCCCATTCAAAAAAAAAAATAGTGTCACAAAAAAACTTCACCGGCAGCCACCATACCGGTGGCCGGCGCCGATGGCCAGAGGCGGTTGTCGGCCGCTGGAGGCCAGTCACCAACGGTGGCTGCCGGTCGCCAGCCACCGGTGAGGGGCTGAGGTTTTTTTTAAAAAAAAGACAAGGGCATATTTGTCATTTTATTAAATTTCAAAATTTTAATTTGAGAAAGACTTCCCCCTCTGTAATTACATTTCCTTAGCTTTTCAAATTGGTATTTCACATTTTCAAGCTTTTTATGTGTCATTTTGCCTATTTGATATTTGACCATTATTTTTCTTCAAATATTGATTCAAAATTGTGCACCAAATTTTTATAAAAGTACACAAAATATCTTTGTTCAGGATATTAAAATTGAAAAATCTACGGTAACAAACAAATTGAAAAATCTATTTGGTTTGTGTCAGGCCACGCGCCTCACATTAGGTTCTAAGTTTCTTCTGCTCCTGCAATTAAAACTAGCAAAAACAGTTCAAAAAGTGAAAAGAAGCTTACAAGGAAGCCTACAAGGAGTCAAGGACAGCCGATCGTAGAGGACATTTAGATTTTTCAATATCCCATGAGGACGTTTGGCATTGACTTGATCATCACGGGGCCAATATATAGCATAATTTTCTAATTAAGTCAAATCTCGAAAACAAAAACAAAAAATCAAATACACTTAGGCTTTGTTTGGTTCAATGAAGGGGAGTGGAGGGGAGGGGAATTAAGAGGAAGGTATGAGTTTTGTTTGGTTCGAGGGAAAGAGAGGGAAAGAGAGATTTCTTGTTTGGTTTAGGAGGAGAAAGAAGGGGAGCTAATTATAAGTTGACAAATATATCCTTACCTCTTTATTTAGATTTATTTATTATTTTATTATGATATTTATATCATAATTATTATTTTCTAATTTGTGAAAATAAAAAAACCAGATACCTTGAGACATAACAAATAGATTATAAATAATCATATATCAAAATAAATGTCAATAAAAAATTTATAATCTTTAGCATATTATATAAATTATAAATAAATTTATGCTACAAGTTTTCAACTATTCCATCCTTAATTACATAACGTGCACAACCTCACATACTTAATTAGATAATACACAGAGTTTTGTGTAAAAAAATGAAATTGAGATGAATGAGATGAAGAATCAGATAAGAGGAAAAGATATAGAAGATTAATGGCAGAGAACGTGGAAAATGATGAAATCAGAGAAAGAAAATATTCAGGAAAAAAAAGAACCTCTGAGGAGTAAAAAAAATCAGTAGAACAATAATAGGGGCTGAAAAAAAAAGGGTAAAAAAAAAAGCAAAGAGTTAAAAAAAAGTTTTTGCTAAAAAGGATAAACTTGAAATATTAAAAAATTGACATGGATAATTTAGTCAATATGAGGTATAATATTTCTCTCCCCTCTAAAAAACCCCAATTTTAAAGGGGAGCAAAAAGAGGGGAGGGAAGCACTAAATGACAAAAAAAAATTTCCCTCCTTCCATTTTTCTGAACCAAATACAATTTCCCTTCCCCTCCCTCCAAAAACCTTCCAACCAAACAATGCCTTAATGAAATTTTCTGATCATGAAATGCGAAAACTTGTAAGGTACTCCATCCGTTCCTTATTATAAGAGACATTTGATGCTTATACCATGTTCCTAAATATAAGAGACACTTAAAAGTTGTCTCTACTTTTTGTGTTGATTTCCTATTTTACCCATATTTATTGTCTCCAACTCACACTCTCTCTCCTTCCCACTTCTCTTTCTTTTAAGAATTTACTATTGTTTTCTCTCATACTCTCTCTCCTTATTAATGAGGGCATTTTTGGAAAAAAAATTATACTTTTTACACATTAATTGTTCTTAACTAATTTTAACTGTTTTTTTGATCAACGTAATTCGGTTATTCGTCTCTTATAATAAGGAACGGAGGGAGTACATTGTTCTCTTGCTAACTGCAATCCACTAGGAGAGGTCGATTCGAACTTATTGCTAGTAGACAATTCTGATTTTAAATTATCATCAATTTTATATGTGATATTAGCTATAAGTAATACTGGTTAATTTTGATTTTTGTTTGAATTTTTTTTATAAGTGACTTTAAGAATTGTGATAATGTTTAGTCTTTATTTATTAAAATTGCTTATGGATATATAATTGCCAAAAAGGGTACGAAATTAATAAAATTATTTACATTTTCATAATTATTATGTTTAATAATAAATTTCATTAAATATAATTTAATAAATGACATGAATATTTAAATATTATTTTTATTTTACAATTATTATTTAAAATAATTTATAAAATTTATTTGTATTACAAATACTAAATAAAAGACACCATATAAATAAGCACTGAATGAAAATTAAGAAAAAAAAATTGATTAGCAATTTTAATAGCATAAGTAAGAAAACTGAATGTTGAATCAAAATTATAAGTAAGAAATAAAATTTGAATAACAAAACTAATTAATAAAAATGATAGCTAATTATTTTCCTTGTATTGCAGAATTTGATCTCAAATGGAGTCTCGAAGATGATCCATTTCTGATGAGAAAACTATGTTTACATTTGGCGATGGATCTGAAACAACACCATCATCATAATTGCATTCAATGATATTTTTATTTTCATACCAACTAAATTTAAAATCAGTCTCAGCATGTCTTCTAAAAAAGTAATGGATAGCCATGGTTGCAATGACTATTTGAACTTGTGTTTGGATTTCATATGGAGGCATGTGGTCTAAAATTGCAAACTTGTTCTTCTATACCCTGCAAGTTTTTTCTATAATACATATCAAGTTTGAATGATAATAATTAAAAATCTTGTTCTCATTTTGGAATCCTAACGAACGCCTGAAATCTGGTAGATGATAACGTTCACATTTATAAGACCAATATACCCAACTGGTGTAGGGTGGACAGCATCCACCAAATAATACTTGCCTGATAAAAAATTAATGGTAATATATATATTTATGAATTTGTATCAAGCATATCCATTTCAAGATATAAGAAGAAACAAACTCGGAGGTGGATGTGGGAAGTTCGTACTAGGAGTTCCAAGAGCATTATAAAAAATATGAGCATCATAAGCAGTGTCTTTCCATCCAACTAATGTAAAAATAAAACACATGTCCCATTCACATGTAGCTATTATGTTTTGTGTAGGATATCTTTTTTTTTTTTCCTTAAAAAATTTTGGTTGTTCGGACAAGCTAACCACACAATGGACATGAGCTCCATCTATTGCTCTTATAGCATTCTTAAAAAATGGCTAATATCGTGGGTCATTTTGAATTTTTGATGGGAAATGACGAAAGGTAGGACTTGATATAATTGAAGGACAATTGCAAGCAGATAAATGGGCATGGTATCTGGCCATAGTTCAAACTAATATATATATATATATATATATATATTAAAAGAAACAATATAACCATGATTACTCAATAAAAAAAAAAAAGGAATCAAGAAACAGGATGGTATATGCTAAATGGGTGTAGTCTCTGGTCACAGTTCAAACTAATATATATACATATATATATATATATATGTATTAAAAGAGACAATCACTATTATTCAAGAAAAAGCAATCAAAAGGAATCAAGAAACAATCACGATTATTTAAGGCGGTCCTTCGCGAGAGGCATGGGGAGGACTGGAGATTGTAAATTTGTGAGAATAAGATTAGAAAATTCCAACTTGTGTAAAGAAAGTGAACAAATAAAAAAGAAGGAAACACACCTTTTGAGTGATTGATTGATTTGAGAAAATGAGATGAGGACCCCTTAAAATACATTTGAAGTGGTTTAAGTTGAAAAATTATATGCAAAATATGCGGAGATAATATTTGATAGGAGATTTTTGGAAGAGCATGAGAGAGTAAATTGGAAAAAAGTTAGTTGATAAAGATTAGTCGGGATTCTTTAGATAGTGTTTGGTTGGGGTTTTTATGAGGACAGGGAATAGAGAGCCGGAGAGGTGAGAGATAAGTGTGTTAGGTTAGAAAAATTAGAAGAGGGGGAAGGTAAAAAATTTTGTTTTCTCGTGCTTTCCTCCCCTCCTCCCTCTTTCCCTTAAAAACGGGGTTTTTCAGTAGGGTGAGAAACAATCTGACATATCTTAACTAAAATGCTCATATTATTTCTTCAACATACCAATTTTAGCCATTACAACTTAAGCCATTTCTTCATCACCTTTTCTGTCTTGCCTCTCGCCTTTCCTCATTTGCCATCATTGTGGCCACCTGCTCCTCATGGATATCAGAAACCCACTTGGCATGTGCGACACATCTAAGCCGTCGCTGATGAAGAGGTTGCTGAAGACATGAGGCATCACAGTCTCCCAACATGAAGTTGTGGAAGAGGAAGCGGAGGGCTGCAGCGGCCATAGTTAGCATTTTTGCTGCTTGTCTATTACGATTGTTTGCTCCAATTCATGAAGGAAGAAACATATTCTCAACCCCTTCAATCTACGGATGAATCAAACTAATTGATGAAATGGGAAAGGGGAATTTAATCGTGAAAGACAGGTATGGAGCTGTCACCGTCGGAAAAATACAAGCCAAAGAAGAAGTCTTCTTCGCTAATGAAACAGCTGAACAATAATTATTACTGTATACAAATTATAAATATGACTCATCTGATCCTTAATATATGATTCAATTATTAAGTTAATTTTAGTCTTAAATATAAGATCTATTTATCATATTTATTAATTTTTTTTAAATTACCCTTATAGATATTCCATCAATCATAATCAAGTAAGAAAAAAAAGATATTAAAAAAGATGATTATGATTTTTTAAGAAAAAAATGTTATATTTCTTATGATTAGCTAACTTACCTAACTTTTTTAATCTAATCAAACTAGTTAAAAAAATCTTGTATTAAAAATCAGAAGAGTATTATATATATACACATAAAAGTATTACCTCCGATCCTAATTATAAGATCTTATTTATCAAAAATAGTATAATTATAATCATGGGATATATATAGCCATTAATTATGTATTATAATTATACTTATTCAATTTGAATAATTATAAAATTATAATTTTATGAAAAACAATTTAAGTAAAAGAAGGGTAAAACCATCCACATAAAAATATCTTTTGTCCCTTCTCTTCTTAAATCAACAAGATAACATTAAAATTCCTTTCCTCCCTCCCTTTCTATTAAAATCCCTCCCCTCTTTTTTCCTCCATTAAAATCCCTTGATTGAACCAAACACACCCTTAATCTCCCACTTTACTTCCATTAAAAATAATATCTCTGTCACAATTAATTTGCTTTTGGAAAAAAGTCATATAATCCATACAATAACATTTCAACCAAGAACGCCACTAGAATCCTCAGCAGAGTTGGGTGACAAAAACTGGCAAAACCAACGCACCATGACGAACAAAAAGATGACAATAACAAGGACCTAAGAATCGATCTGCCTAAGTTCTTTTTCGCTTAAACTTCTGCCTCAACTCAGGAAATTGCAGAGGGACCGGAAGTGTGGCATAATATACTTTACCCTCACGCATCATCTTGCAACCCAGGCTCTCATATTGTTGTCTAACACGCAGGAAGGTCATCTTCAGGTCCTTTGCAATATCTGTGCAGCTTGTTCGGAACCGATCGGAGAATAGAGTGAGCACCAAGATATAACTGGTGAGAAGATTAATCTTCTCTGTAGGCAGCCACTTTGATTCAGGGACAGCAAACATTGCTGAAAACTTGTGATGCAAAATGCTTGGGATTTTGTGGGCCCTTGCAGATGAACGATCAGCAGTGTGCTGTTCTTTAAACTTCATGAGATGATTGATATATGAAAGTATGCAACAGACCTTCCTCTTTTCTGACTCATCCTTAAAAAAGAAAGAAAGAAAAAAAACACACACACACACACACATCAGATGAGATATCAGCTGAAAAAGGTGAAAAAAACAAAAAGAACTTTGAGAACATGGATTTAAAACTTAAGTTCGAAGAAATTTAGGAGTTTGGCATCTCTGAAAAATGTTGTGGGGTACTCACATGACCTCAACGAAATTTGAGGGGCCTATTGTTGCATGACATTATTAGACATAAATTTCTATACTATGTATAATATAAAAACTTAAGATAGCCAAAATTTTCCACCCTTCAATATTGGACAATATTAACTAGGAAAGCAAAACAACTATTGATCCAACTCAGGTTTCAAGTGGCCAAGAAACAACTGATACCTGAATCTTCTTTAATCTGTCTACCCTGTTGCGGATAAATGTTGGGTAACCTTCGAAGTCTGCTCCATCCTGTTGCAGAAGATTGTAAATATCTTGAAGGTAATCCCACTCTACATTAGGTATAATCTGTTCCAAAGGATATGCCCGCTCAGGTGTTGTGGCAGAAACATCATGTGGGGGAATATTCCGGGAAACATGCGCCTCAGTACTTTCAAGAGCTTGCTTGTTAACAACAACAGTTTTCATTTTCACATCCAACTCCTTTTTAGAGTCAGGATCACCTTCTTGTCTAAGAGCTTGTATCTTTTTAGCCTGCAGCAAAATGCAAATTGTAAACACTCTAAGTAGTGCTAAAGAGATCTAATATGTTAAGCTCATTCATATTTTCTTCAATTAAGTAATCAGTAACGTCTCACACCACAAACTTGCTATTTTATTGCTCACGAGAAAAAGCAATTTCATTGATATCAATGGGTTATTAGTGGCACTTTGGGGTTCCAATAAGCATGGGCATCGCATTATTTATTCACATAACATTGCTAATATCTTTAAAAAGGTGAAGTAAATAAATAAAAAACATATCAATAATACAAAAGCAATTTTTACAATCAACATCAACAAATATTCAGTTAACCACAAGGATTTAAGAAGTAGCTCTTCTTCTAGGCTCACAGCCACCACATAAGTGCTACTTTATAAACTAACCCAACAAAATCGCAAATCTGGGACTCATAAAAACACACATAAGTGCTCGTATGCCAGACAAGAATGATAATTCCATTCCTACCTTCATTCCATAGAATTAGGCTTTCAAAAGATCGGTACACAAGGGGGAAAAAAATGCTTATTCCATTCTCATGCTTAATTCAGAGCAGGGATGGATCACCATTCCATCCCAAAGTGGGAAAGGGCAAAAGGCAGTTCCCGGCAACTAAAAATGAATTACTTTTTTATTTTCTCTCTTTATTGATGTGTGTTTAGATATAATATGATCCCACACTACAATGATTCCACGTGCCCCATTTAATAAAAATTGAAACAAATGGAAACAAACAAGGGAATGGGAATAACTATGTTCTCCTATCTCATTCTAACTGAACTCTTGAATGTCAATTCAGAAGAAACCAAATGATTAACCATTATCAACATGCCAGAGTATACCTTTTTTATAGACGACTTTGTTCCCCATAAAATAGTAGCCTCTCTAGCTTTCTCTGCCCTTTCCTCTGCTGTCAGCTCTACCACAGTTGAGTTTTCAGGTTCTTTAGCAGAATATTCTAAGCCCCTCACTCTAGGATCCAATCTGAATATCTGAACAAGCAGTACCCGACTTATATGTTTCCTTCCTAAACGGCCACTTAGCCAGAAAAATTAGTACTTAAAAAGAGAAATAAAAAAGAGCATGCAGTTCCCCAATTACCTTGTTGGCAGCAATGGGCACAACCTTCAGGGTATGGGTTTCTTTATCAAAAACTCCAAGTGCATACATGCACTTCTGTCCAGCGGTAGCCTCGCCAGAATAACTCGTGCCAACAAAATCCACCGGCGACCCATTAGAGCTCACCACAAGCTGCAACCTCTTGGGCATTTTCTTGTTTCGATAGATCTTAATATTCGTAGAACCCATCCCAGATTCGGAATCATCGTCTAAATTCTTCTGAGGATCGAACCCAGAAGGAAAATAACCGACAATAGGAGGGATTCTTTCTGGGCGATCATTGACGACTTGTACCTTCGCCTGAACCGGCGGGCGCTCCTTCTTCTTCTTCTTTGCCTTTTTTGTTAGTGGCTCCAAACCCAGTGGATGCTCTGTATTTTCAACTTGAGATTTTGTGTCTTCAGCATCTGAGTCCATTGACTGGGGCAAAAAAAAAACACTCGAGATGTTTCAGGCTTTCAACCACAAATGTTGTGTAAGGTACCAGGAGCGACCGATGGAGAGCCAAAGGTAGAGGCAAGGAACCCGAGGCCTAAGCACGGAACTACAGAAGCAGGCAGGATACCTGTATAATGGGAAGGAGGAAAGATGATAAAAGAATCGAGAGCGAAGCCGACGGTGGGGTGGGATTGCGGGGGCAAGGAAGTAGGCTGGTATTAGGGCTGTGTCCCTTGTCATGCACAAAACAAACTGTTCTGAGTTGGGTCGGGGCAGCTGGGAATGCGGGCTGACAGATACAGGTCAGCCCGCAACAGTGTGGACCGAAAGCGGTGCGGGTTGAAGTAGCTGACGTCCTGGCGGATTGGCGGGCTGGTCCACCGACCTGCCTAAAATTTCTTTTTACAAAATTATTATTATTTGTAGAGATTGAGTTTAGTTTGTAATGTTGAAATTAGACTTGAAATTTTAAACTTGAGTAGTAGGTTATAATAAAATAACGTGAGGATTAATTTATAATTTGAGAATATATTTCAGAAAAACCAACACATATTTTTTCTAAATAATTAACTTGACTATTTTTCTTATCCAAATTAATTAAGTAGATCTTTTATGTGTGTATTACATATGAAATTACATGAATGAGGAGATGTAAATGTAAAATTTGAGGGTCAAAATCCTTCAATTATATTGTATAATATATTGAGAATGGTATAAAAATAAAAATTAAAAAAAAGAAAGAAAACAAAAGCGGGTGCTAAAAACAATGCGGGCTACTCTAGCCTGCATCTTGACAGGTTGGCATTTTGCCAACTCAAACCCACCATTTTTGGTGCCCTGGGCCCTCGATTACCAGTTCTAGGGCCCCGCACTTTCGCTTGGATGACCCAGCGACAAATAAATTACCTAAACATTTGAATTGATTCTTATGACTTTGGAGTTTTGATAAATTCCTACCCTCAAATTGGAAGAAAAGGGGAAATAAAAGGGGAAAAATAAATTGAAGTAACTTGTTAAAGAAATATAATTAAAGAAAACATTTTGAACCGCATAATGTTAACTAATTACAAATTTTCTCGATACTTTCACATCTTTTTTTAAGAATGCATACTCACGATATTATATTTAATATTTAAATTTTTTTAAAGAAATAATGTTTAGTTTCAACCATTGACACTATGAGAACTTGCTACCTAATTAAAAAAAAAGTTTTGCTCAGATAAATGTTTTTGATGAGTTGAGGTTTTTATTTTTATTTTTATAAGGTTACATATCTAACATAATTCTAAAACTTACAAATATAAGCATGAAAATTGTTTTGCATGTTTTTTCTATGTGAATATTATTATTATGGTTAGGGTTAGCTCTTTCATACATGTTTTTTTGTTTTTGTTCTTGTTTTCGTTTTTATCTTAATGGACTCAGTCCATGATCATTTTATCAAGACAAACATGGTATTATGTAAAAAAAAAAAAACCAAGCACACGTGTTTGTGGGATTAAACAATGGACAGGGCTCAAATTCAACCCAACTTGGCTCAAAAACACCCTTTTATATAATAGTTATTTGAACAATTCAATGGAAGGAAGGGGTCACTTTTATCTCAATGAACTAGAACTAACCCTCGTTAAATGAGAGGCTAGATTTTATTTATTTTGACTCAGGAAGCTCCCCCTCGCACTAACAAAAGAATGCCCATTTTGCCATGGAAAAAGCTTTGGGTAGGACTCGGAGATGGATGTATTGTAATCAAACGCTTTTACTTTATGCTTTGCTTGCCAAACATGCTTAGAGGTTTGTGTCAGCATAAAAAAGGTCATTTATAGGGAGGACTATGAATATTATATACTACCTCCGGTCTTAATATAAGACCTTATTTGATTTTTATTTTGGTCCTATTTGTAAGACCCCAATCCACTTTGTCTCTCATATTTATACATTTTTTCTAAGATAGTCCCTCTAATAATAGTAGTTTTAGCTAATGATCTTGATTAGTAAGGATATTTTAGGAAAGACAACACTTATTTATTACAAATAACTAACTTAATTTATTTTCTTAATCTCCTCAAAATAATCAACCAGCTCTTATAATTAGGACCGGAAATAGTATTTCAATGCTATAATTCAAAGAGACTGCAAAGCCAAGCAAGGCTAGTCATGCTTGGGAAGGCAAAAAAAAAAATCAATTCTCCACTACACATACAATAAATGTGGTGTTTCTTTTTGTATAGTTTAAAACAAAACATATTATTCACAATTTATGCATAATAGTACTTTCTTTATAAACTACAAACGAGGTTTTATAATTAGGACTGGAGATAGTATTTTTTTTTAAGCCTTAACAGTTATGGATAATGCAACTTTTTATCATTTTTATTGATATATTGATATTATACTCCTTCGGTCCTAAATATAAGACCCATTTTGTAGTGTAACTTACACTACAAAATGAATATTATATTTAGGACCGGAGGAGTATTAGTTAATAGTACTTTTCCATTACAAGTTTAATCCATATTTTATCAGACTAGAATTTCTCCTTGTTTTATTAAGTATTTTTTTCATTCTTAAATATAAGAGTTGGTTGAAAAGTTTAATTTTTAAATATAAAACCTTAACAATATTTTGTAAAATTATGATTTTTTTTCAAATAATTTTATTGATGACATGCACCGATGATGGGATTTTCATCACTAAATTTGGTTTCCAAGATATATAATTAAGAAAATTAATACATTTATTACAAATAATAAATTTAATTAATTTTTTGTTTTTTATAAATTAATTATCTAAACTTTATATTTTAAAAACTAAAATTTATAATGTAATTTTTCTCCTTTTTTCCCGGCCTAATCCATATTGCCAATTTATAAAGTGAGAAACAACGGGTCGGGTATAAAAGCTAAAACCCGCCCCAACAGATCGCGTCCTGCATCCCCCGACGTTTTGGCGAATTCACTCCGCATTTCAGTCCTGTGGAGCATACTTAGCTTTAGGGCTTTAGGGCCAAAACTTAAAACTTTTTCCCTCTCTTTGTGCCGGTGACGTTGGTCCTCGGCAAGAGTCATGGCGAACGAGCCAGACATGGGTAGCTGGACTGATCTGTTGCATTCTTCCACGAAGCTTCTCGAACAAGCTGCTCCTTCTGCTCAGTTCCCTCCCCTCCAGGTTCACCTCCTCATCTTCTCTCTTTTACTTTCTGTTTGATTCTCGATGAAATAAGCTAAAAATGGAAAGATAAGTATCAAAATGCTGTTCTTTCGGGTATCGACCCCTGTTCCGTTGCTGACTCAGAAATTGAGCTTTCTGGAGGGTTTAAGTGATAGCTGAGTGATAGAGTCTTCTTGTTTAAACAAAAGATGCATTTTGAAGGATTCAGTGCTTCCGTTACAATGTGGGGAGTTAGCTGGCAACCATTGGACGCTTTAATCTGTGCATGGTTTCTGCTGGTAGAAGAGTAAAATGAGAGCTGTTCAACCTCTTCCTTTTACTGTTTCTCGGCTTAAAATTTTATGATATGAAACGTGGCAAACATGAAATTCTTCGCTATCCCACCCCCTATGCATTACTCAGCGAACGAAGATTAAAAAAAAAATTGTAGTAGTGTCCTAGAGTTCGCCAAAGAAATTCTTTACAATCAGTCTGATACAACTCAATTTGTATTTAGAGTCTGAAACAACATTAACTGTATTTATGTTCCATTTTGTTTTAGTTGGACTGCTGGGACATCTAAATTAAAGGCACAGAAACTCTGGTTAATACTCACGGAATGTTTCCAATCATGCATGTTTATGTATTTGCATATCTGATTATCTACATTTTGGCTGTGAACTGAAATAGCTTCAATTTAAACAAGTAAATGTGTAAGATCCACTCCTTTCAGCTTGATTTGTTTTCCCATTCCAAATTAAAATTTGCTGATAAAATTCGGTTGTTTTGGATTTCTACCATTTGAATTCTTTTTCATTTCTTGTTCAGAGGAACTTAGATCAATTGGAAGCGTTATCTAAGAAGCTCAAATCCAAGACCCTAAGGACTGAGGCGCCTTCTCAATCTATTGCTGCTACAAGGTACTTTGATGACTTTTCCCCCAGTTTGGTTATAAGTGTAAATAGTTGGATTACTTCGAAAGTGCAGTGTAATTATTAATGGATTTCTGATATGTTGAAAATATTTCAAAATATGTATTCCTTTCATTTCTCCTATTGCAGAAAGAGCGTGCTTATACATCTCTGGCTAATTGTTATGACTCCTTTTCATTATCTGTTGCAATGACAGGCTGCTTGCACGTGAGGGGATAAATGCTGAGCAGCTTGCACGGGATCTGAAATCATTTGAGTTGAAGGTCAATAATAATAATAATAATATACATCTTCACGCTTCTCTATTTAATTTGCTCAGTACTTGTAATTTTGTCACTCTGCATTCACATTTTTCTTTGTCTGAAGTATAAAATTCTATTTATTACATTTCTTATAGATATTTTATGTATTCAATTTTTTGGATCTCTACACAGCTATTGTTTACAGAACACTTGCTTCCATATTTTCTTTAGTTTAAGCTTCTTTTCAGTTACTTTTGTTGTTACCTTTTGCTGATTTTGTCCTCTTTATCCATTGACTCTTCTATTTTTATTTGAAGACAACTTTTGAGGATGTTTTTCCTGCGGAGGCTACAAGTGTTGAAGAGTATCTGCAGCAGGTAACTTTGACTCCTTTATTTTGATAATCATCTGAGATTTATTTTGTGATTAATTTGGAGGATCATTTCCTTATTAGAGACCACTAATAACATTTTCAAATTTCTTTCATCTAAACCTTTAGTGTGTGGCATTTTTGACAATATTGTATACTTTGTTCCTCTTAGGTTCGTGAAATGGCTATGGTATCTGCCATCCAGGAAGCGCAGAAGGATAATCTCAGAAGTTTTAATGATTACATGATGAAAGTTTTAGAGGTTTGTGGTATTGTCTTTCATTTTATATTTACTAAAACTGAGGCTAGGATTATATGATCTTTGGATCTTTGTGTACGAATGAATTAGGCATGGTGGCATAAGCAATTAATTTTGTTGCATATATGTGGTTTGTCATGGAACAGATATATTATTGCATATTACATTGGTGATTGAGGTAGGTTGATGCATTGGTGTTTCTCAAATAATTATTAATGAACTAATAATGAATGTAATGTTCATT